TATATATATATATATATATATATATATATATATATATATATGGTACAGACAGCGCAAATATATTTTCACAAATTTTTTTTGACGCTGGCTATTGAGACATGTTGTATTGTATGCAGCATTGTAATTTTTCTGGAATGGATGTTCCAATTCTGGCGACACTTTTATCAGACACAGATAATTAATTGCTGGATGCTTCTGCCAACATTAGCGTTCTGGTTGCTGGCAAAAATCAATTCAGCCCTCGGTGCTATGTAAGCAACAATTGTTAAACGTAGATATAATATTTTAACATATAGGATCGGCCAACCTTGGCAAGATTTCAAATTGCGATATCATTATACTCTGGTATAAGATAGTTTCATCAGAAACCGACATTTCGTAGGCGTACTGCTTCTTCGTTAAGTTTCTACGAACGCACCTGTTAGTACTGCTGCAATCAAACACGTAGGTATAGTAGCAAACCGGCTCGAAAGGCCTGAATAAATAATATTATAACTCTGCAATACCGTTTTGGAACTGTGCAAAATCCTATTACTGACAGTTTTCCAGACACGCGCTCATACACTGAAACAGCGGAAAACTACCAAGCCAGCGTTGTCAATAATTTAGGCCGAAAAATAACAGAATCCTGTTAAAACAAAACGCAGCAATAACAATTTCCTGTCTGTCAGCACGCAGCGTTGATTAGAACGAGTGATGAGGGGGGCGCCTCCACACCATAGACAGCAAAACTTAAAACCATCAGCGGCTGCAAAATAATTACTAGACCACAGCCCAACATCATGCTAGTAATTAGCGTTGGCAGAGAAAACACGAGACGTGTTTTACTGTATAGAGGCAAATGTTATTCACTGATATATTGCCGCGCGCATGATAAACCTTAGCGAAAACCTACCCTAGTTTAGAAACAGACGTAGTGTGAGAGAGATACAGAGAGAGGGGGGATAGAGAGAGGGAGAAGGAGATGAAGAGGGAGGAAGGTAGGGAGGAATTAGGGTGAGAGAGAGGAGGATGAGAGATGAGAGAGGCGAGAGTGCAAGAGAGCTGAGAAGAGGGAGTAATGGAGAGACGGAAAGACAGACAGTGACAGAGAGAGAGAGAGAGAGAGAGAGAGAGAGAGAGAGAGAGAGAGAGAGGAGAGAGAGAGAGAAGAGAGAGACGAAGAGAGAAACGAGAGAGAGAGAATACGAGAAAGAAGAGAGAGAGAGAGAGAGAGAGAGAGAGAGAAAGAGAGACAGACATACAGACAGAGGGAAACAGCGAGGTAGACAGAAACAGAGAGAGAGCGAGAGAGACAGACAAACAGACAGAGAGAAAGACAGAGAGAGAAGAGAAGAAGAGAGAGAGAGAGGCAGAGAGAGAGAGGAACAGAGAGAGAGAGAGAGATGAAGAGAGAGAGAGAGAGAGAGAGTAGAGAGAAGTGAGTAAGAGAGTGAGAGAGAAGCGAGTGAGAGAGAGAAGAGAGAGCACACACAGCAGACTACAGACAGAGGGGAGAGCGAGGTAGACAGAACAGAGAAAGAGAAGAGCGAAGAGAGAGAGAGAGACATACAGACAAGAGAGAGAGACAGACATCAGAGAGAGACACGAGAGAGAGAGCCAGAGAGAGATGAGAGAGAGAAGACCCGCACCACGAGAGAGAGAGACAGAGAGAGAGAGAAGAGAGAAGAGAGGAGAGAGAGAGAGAGGAGAGAGAGAGCGAGAGAGAGAGAGAGAGAGAAGAAGAGAGAAGAGTTGAGAGGAGAGAGAGAGAGAACGATAAGCGAAAGACAAGAAAGGATAGATGTTCTCCGCCTGTTCCTGCCATAACTGGCTAGAGTCATCCCACATACGTGTCCATCGAGAGAAGTGCAATTTTTTTACAGATCAATAGCATGTAGTTACAAGGTTCAATATGAGAAGTACGTTTACATCATATGATACACGTTCAAGATGCTGGCGTAATCTACGTAATATCACGAAAGACACAATGAACGCTCAACTTTCGTTAACCATCTGTTTTTCTCTGACCGTTAAACGTGCGGCGCACACACATACACACACGTGCGCACGCAAGCACAAACACCCCGCGCGCACACACGCGTTCCACAAAACACAGACGACCAGCACAGGCACACGTACGCTGTCACGGACAATCACACTGCACGGGACCGCACCGCACCCACACGCGCACAGCAGCCCAGCACAAGGACACGCACGGGCGGCTCCAGGCACACACAACCAAACAACTATATCATCTGTCATGAAAATTCCACTATCACTGTGAGTATGCATTTTGTACATATTTAATACACCAAAATACAATTTGAAAATACCGTTCAAACCGATTCTTCACTTACAACCTTAACTAACAACACAACACAGCAATATAATAATAATAATTAATAATCGAATGGTAATAGTAATATTAATTATTATATAATATATCAACATCACCACAACGGAGGCACAGTAAAGCAAATTATCGTTGAATATTAACGCGCTTCGACGCTGTGTCCACATTCGTTTTATGGCTATATAGTGAGTTTTGTTTTTGGAATTTGTTGGTTAGGCCTATAATATATATATATATAAGTATATATATATTATATATATATAATATATATATAATTTCACCCACAAACAAGAATATATGACAGTTGCCATGATATGGTCCCTAACTGATCTCCGCTACCTGCTGATCCTGTCCGTCAATTGTGTCTGTAGAAGAGGAGAAGAGAAGAGGAGAAGTAGAGAGAAGAGAGAGAGAGCAGAGAAAGGAGAGAGAGAGAGAGCTAGAGAGAGAGAGAGAAAGAGAGAGAGAGAGAGAGAGAGAGAGAGAGAAGAGAGAGAGAGAGAGAGAAAAGAGAGAGATATTGAATTGA